ATCTTCGGGGGACCGGCGAGCAGCTGCTGAGCCCCAACGCATTGCAGTTAGACGCTGCTGCAGCTGCTGCAGCTGCTCCGTCAGTGATCCTCCTGCTGCAGCAGGGGACTCCACTGTTTCAGCTGTTTTTTCTGCTGCTGCTTCCTCATGCGGTGCTGCTGCTGCTGCTGCTGCTGCTGTTGCTGCTGTTGCTGCTGGTGGTGTTGCTGCTGCTGCATCAACAGCAGCAGAAGGGTGTTCCTGCTGCAGCAAACTCCCCCCCTCATGGGGCCTCTGCAGCTGCTCGACGGCGCCAAGCATTGTGGAAAGCAACCCGCGAAACGCAGACACACACACACAGCAGCGAGGGTTTAGGGTTTAGGGTTTAGGGTTTATGGGGGGAGTCGCCTAAGTAGTGACAAAAGATAAAAGTAAAAGAGAAAACCGCAAAAAAAACAAAATAAATAAACAAGAGGAAATGACACCCCCGTGACAGGCACAACCCCAGCATCCCGCCGTCCTTCGGCACTGAAAATTCGGGTCTAGGGTTTAGGGTTTAGGGTTTAGGGTTTAGGGTTTAGGGGGTGTTCAAGTTTTTCTAATATTCTCTTACTCGGCGACTACTAAACCCTAAACCCTAAACCCTCAACGGAAGCCGCAGCAGACCGCCAGCAGCAGCCGGTGACCTACGCTGAACCCTAAACACCAAACCCTAAACCCTAAACCCTAAACCCTAAAATCTTTGTGTTAAACCCTAAACCCTAAAATATTAACATTAATTTCTAAACCCTAAACCCTAAACCCTAATTTATTTCCGTTTCTTTTTTTAGTGTTTATCACTGGGTTTGGCCTCAGACACACACGCACAGGAGAGTCTCTGCTGCAACTGCATTTGTTCCTTTCTTCTGTTTGCATCGCTCCTCCTTTTCCTTTTTCTTTTATTGTTTTTTATTTATTATGTCTATATTTTCCACTGTTACACTGCGTTTTAGCTAATACAGCTTCCCCGCTGCTGCAGCCCACCACCGCCTTCTGCCTCGCACACAGCCTTCAGTGTTTAGGGTTTAGGGTTTAGGGTTTAGGGTTTAGGGTTTGAGATCCAGGGGCCGCAGCGTGGCGTTCATGGTTGCTGCTGCTTCTTCTACGGCTTTCATCTCTCCCCACCACAGGGTGCTGCTCTGGGGTGTATAAGCAGCTGTGTGCAGCAGTTCGCTTTCTCTGCTGCTGAAACTGTTTTCTATAGAGTAGCCTTTCTCTGCTTCTTTTTGAGTTTCTCTTATAGACCGTGTATGCCGCTGTAGCCATGATCGTGGCTCTGGGTGTGAGAGTATGCAGTACTTGAACAGGAGAAAAAACTAGACAAAAATAAACAGAAATAAACAATAACAGCATACAAACATAATAAGTTTATCTTTACCTGAAATATCTCCAGGGATTCTTGACTATTCACTTCGTTTAGGGGCTAGGGTTTAGGGTTTAGGGTTTAGGGTTTAGGGTTTACTAGGTTTTGTTTCCTCTTTGCATACAAATGCTCTGAAACATGGCCGCAGCCACTTACCCAGCGAGGCGATTTAACTTCGTTGGGTGGATATTTTTGAATTGACTTTAATTAAATGAATAAATATAATTTATTTAATTATTTATTTATTTATTTATTAATAAATATAATTTATTTAAGCTGGATATATCCGTTCCCTTGAGATGAGATACTTTCTGCATCTGAATCGCCTTTCTAGGATTCAAGAAAGCAGAGGTGTTCAGAGCGGAAACCTCCGAGTTTTATGTCTGTATTTTTTTTAAAAAAGCAGCAATTGATTAAAAATAAATAAAGGTATTGTTTCTCGAGTTTTAAACGGAAGTTGAATCATAAATATTGCATATATTTGCAGCTTTCCACTACGAGCGTTTCAGGTGTATAGGCAGCTCACCGAGAATACCGGCTGATGCTGACATTCATGAAAACTGCAGATATTCTTCGGAAAATGCTGCATGTTTTTCTTTTTTTTATTCTTTTGCATCGATATGTTTTATTTTTACACGGAAAAAAACTCTTTGATGGCAAGGCCGGGGCCTCCTATGGCTTCGGTATGTGATATTGTTGCATTTGTTTCGATGATCATACGAAACAGAAAAAGTTGAATTTTCATGAAATATATTCAACTGAATAC